TCTCTCTCTCTCTTTCTCTCTCTCACTCTCCCCCCTCCCTTCCTCCCTCCCTCTCTCCCTCCCCCAAGCTCTGCTCATGATCTGCAGTTTTCCTCACAAAACAAAACATTCCATGTTCCAGGCATTTCCAACTTCTGGGGTCACTGTTGTACCTTTGGTCTTATTCCCAAAACTTACACACTGCCCTCTCAGGGGCTCCTTGCCTAACCTTTCAGCCTTTCTTTGAAATGTTGGTGGCACATACTGATCTAATTTGAACAATCTTATTGAGACAAGGGGAACACATTGGCTGAAGCAAACATCTTTGACAGTAACTTGCCAATACTTCCACTAACTGTTGTCCCACAGACTCTACTCCAAACTTTAAGCATGCATTTCAGGATTATGAGAACTCTTGTTCCCCAAGGAACAAGTACACTCAAGTTCAATCACTCCTTTAGCCATCATCTCCCCACAATCCCCCTCTTTTATAATTTATATTGGTCAGAAGGAGGAGAGTACAGGCTAGAGGAGTATTGGGGTTGATGCAGGCAGGTTCTCATGGCTTCTGCATGCATTGAAATAGCACTCAGAGTACTTTTAGGACTGCAAGAAAGAGCAGAAAATAAGATTATTCTGATAGCTATAAGAATCTAAATGCGAATAACTAACACAAATTGACATTTTCTAAGCTGTGCTTGATGCTATTGTTGCTGATTTTATTGCTTGGGCTAAGGTGTTGTGATTGATCTAATCAGTTGTCCTTCCTGGTATAATGAAAATGAGACTGCCTCAGAGTCATTAGAGACTCAAAACCTAAAGACCAGCTATATCTGGAAGATCAAAGTATTAACCCAAGAATTTAACCAAGGACAGTACCAACAACAAAAATAGGAATGAGAAGATATTTAAACAAGGCACAAATGCAGACTTCCAGCTCACCAAAGGTAAACTTTGGGGAAAATAAGGTGGAAAAGTCTCACAGTCAACCATCTGGACACCCTGAACTGATAGCACAGGAAGTGAAAAAACAGATAAATAAAGTTCTAGAAAAATTCAAAGCAAATAATTTCCCAGATAAAAACAGAGATGATGATAAGAATAAAAGACATTATTAGAGACTCTAGAACAGAAAAAGATAAAAAGATAAATGAGCTCAAGACCATGAGGGAAACCATGAATGCCCACTATAGAAAAGAAATGGAAACCATGAATGCCCAACGTAGGAAAGAAGTGGAATCATGAAATAGATTCAAATAGATACCCATGAGATTAAAAATACTACTGAAAGCATTTGCAGCAGAATGAGTGAATATGAAGATAGAATTTTGGATATAGAAGATAGGATTGCAGTCAGTGACCATGAAAAGAGAGATCTCTTAAAAACAGTAAGGGGTCATGAGAAATCAAACCAACAACTCCTAGATGATGCAAAGAAGAATAAATAAGACTGTTCACAGAATCAATGACAGAAAACTTCCCAGAGGGGGAGAATTTGACATATAGAAAATTGAGGCAAATAGGACTCCAACTAGCCATGAACCAAAAAAATCTACACCTAGACATATAATAATCAAGATTGGAAGAACAAAATACCACAAGCAGTTAGAGAAAAGAAACAAATCACATGCAAAGCTTTTCAACACAAACCCTCAAATCAAGGAGAGCCTGGAGTGAGGTATTTCAAGTTCTAAAAGAAAAAGAACCTCCAACCTATACTGATATATCCTGCAAAACCAACTTTCAAGATTGATGGGGAAATAAGATACTTCCAAGAATTTAAATGTGAAAGTTGAGACCAGAGAGCCAATGTTTAAGACTGACCCAAAAGGCAATATTGAGATAATTCAAAGTAATGTTGCAAGTCTCCATGTGAAGTTTATGAGGTTGGGCCTGAGGTCAGCCTTGGAGATTAGTAATATTTCCATCCACATTTGTATGAAAGTACAATGGAGAATGTGTGGCTCCTTGCCTAGCTCGTCGGGTCTTTCTTTAAAATCTCAGTGAAAGCTTTTGTAGCCCAACAATTCTGGCATACACATGCTAGTAAAACCAACAACACCTGGACAGTGCAAAAGTCTGCATTCAGAGGAAGCAGCAGTCAGGCCTCCTTTGGCATGACTGCAGTGGCTTCGAAGCGCCTGGATGGCTGAACCCTGGGGAACCAATCCCTTAGGTGACCCTTCTCAAGGGAACCCCAGGAACTCTGCTTAAATGAAAAGTTTATACTTTTGTACCCTTACACCTGTGATGGGTAGGGTCTTGCTGATTCCTTAGATGTCCTCAAAGAATTTTTCTTCTAATTCCTGTACAAGGTACTTGATTTCTTTTTAATGGTGCCAATCTCTTTTGCACCCATACTCCCTTTGGCCCCAATTTTACATATCCTTCCTTTTGAGGCAAAATTTAAGTTTTTCAAATTGTTCTGCTCTGCTTTATACGCCTTTATACTCTTGGTATAAATCTAGCTAAAAGTGACCAACTGTGCTCATGCCACAGCCTGTACAATGGGCTTCCTTGAAATTTTCTCCACCAGATCAATCAATCCATTGGCCTGAATCTCAAGTCTCCTAGAAAGTCTTGAGACATGAGCAAAATGAAGACTTGAAAAAGAAAAAGCAAAACAGAGTGTAGCACCTGCACCTCTAGTTCAATTGGCAATGGAGTCTTTGTTCCAATTCAAACTTCCTAAGCCTGGCCTTTACTGTTAACATTGCTATCAGCATTTTGGCTTTCTGAGCTCTGGCTAGACTCACCCATCAAGCTTTGTGTATAGCATTCAAAGTCTTTTTTCAACCTGCATCTCCAAACCTTTCTAAACTTCCACAAAGCAAAGGCTTTTAAACAACATGGCCAAGTACAACTGCAGCTATAGTCCCACTTCTCTGGTACACATTTTCTGTATAAGTCAGCTTTCCTATTTCTGAGACATAATATCCAACACTCAATTTAAAAGGGAGGTGATCAAAATTCCAGCGGCATGTCTCACAGAACTAGAGAAAACAATCCAAAAATTCATTTGGAACCAGAAGAGACCTAGAATAGCAAAGGCAATTCTAGGCAACAAAGGCAAGGCAGTGGGTATCACAGTCCCCAACTTGAAACTATACTACAAAGCTACAGTGATAAAACAGCATGGTTCTGGCAAAAAAAAAGAGACCCGAGAATTAATGGAACAGATTAGAAAATGCAGAAGTAACTTCAGACATATTCAGCCACCTTATCTTTGACAAAGGAGCCAAATACCCTCACTGGAGGAAAGATAGCCTCTTTAATAAATGGTGCTGGAGGCTGGGGATTTAGCTCAGTGGTTCAGTGGCCTGACTTGCAAGCGCAAGGACCCGAGTTCAATCCCCGGTACCAAAAACAAAACAAAAAAAATAAATGGTGATGGAAGAACTAGGTTTCAACTTGCTGAGATTAAAACTAGACCCATGTCTTTCACTATGCACTAAACTAAAATCAAAATGGATCAAAGATCTAAATATTAAAACAAACACTAAACCTGATGGGAGACAGATTAAGTAGAACTTTTGAAGAACTAGTGTATGAAAAGACTTTATGAATAAAACCTGTCACGTGAGAACTAGCACAAAGAACCAATAACTGGGATCTCACATTACTAAAAAGCTTTTGCATTGAAAGAAATACCACTAACAGAGCTAAGAGACAACCTATAATGTGGGAAAAATTTTACCAGCTGTTCTAAGAGAAAGGTCTACTATCTAGACTACATAAAGAAATAAAAAAAAAACAGACTCCCCAAATTTAAAGACCCAATCCAAAAATAGGCATCTGAAATGAACAAACATTTTTCAGACAAAGAAGTAAAAGTAGCAAATAAACATATGAAAAAAATGTTCAACATCACTGGTCATTCATGAGATGCAAATGAAAGAAACGCTGAGATTCCATGTCACTCCAGAAAGAATGGCCGCTGTGAAGAAATCAACCAATAACAAATGCTGGCAGGGTTGTGGGGAAAAGGAATCCTTCTCCACTGTTGGTGGAAGTGTAGACTAATGTGAAGCAGTGAGGAAAATTAGGAAGTTAAGGTAACAAAATATGCAGAGAATATGGCTACCTAGCCTCTCTAGGTTGCAGAGACAGAGGGAAGAACAATTGGAGGAATATAGGGTTCTGTAGAACTACTGATGAATATCAGACAGCTGAAACCTTTAAGAACACTCACACTAAAACCATAACAGCATCAACCTCATGTAGAAAACCAGATTGAACATGTCCGTGCTTCACGACATTCCTGCTGAATAAATGTCCCTGGGCTGGTTCTCATTTGTTCCCAGCTGCCAGCCACAGCAGATGAGCTGGTAGGTAGTGAATGAACATGGGTGCTCTAACTCTTTCCATGCCCTCAGTTTGGAGTGCTGGCCACTCCTTGGGCCAGCATTCTGGAATATTACATTTAAAGACACTCTTCATGCTCATTTAGAATCTATAAACATTGTGATCTAAATTTTTACTATTGGTTCCTTAATGGACTAATAGTAAATATCAATGAAGATGAATACAATGGAAGTTGTTGCCTCTTTACTACTGACCTGGGTGATTTATAATTAAGTAGAATACATTCACAGTTCATTTTGACTGAAAACACAGAAACCACATTTTTTTAGTGTCATCACCATTGCCAAGAAGAAACCCAACGTCATAACATGTTTTTCCTAGATTGTATTAAGAAATTAATGTAGCTTAATCATACTTATCTTCTAGACTAACAAGTGATATGAAAAGGGAATCATTTTTCTTTGAAATTTACAAGTATGATTTGCATATACATGATTTTGAGATAATTTAATATTCTAACTTCAAGATACAACTATATTCTAATACCATTATTTTAAATATAAAGAAACGGATTCTTATGAGACGAAATAATCCACAAACCATGAAGTTGGTTTTTCCTTTTTCTTTTCTTTTTTTTTTCTGCTTAAACAAATATGCAACATAACGCTTCAACAAGTAAGGCAAATGCCATAAACACAAAAGCTGAAGTTGGCAGTATACCCCATTAGAACCCAGGCGAGGTGAATTAGACAGAAGTGGCAGCCATTCTAATTAAATAATCGGGTAACATCACGACTAGTTGATTTGTATTACCAGAAGTGTCCATTTAAGTTTCTCCTTTTCTGATGCTCAGAGGTCCCACATTGTCTCCAGTCTCTTCGTCGTGTTTTGTGTGAGATCCATCGCAGAGTGGGAACTTTTGGGACCTCCAAGAACGGCAGTACACAGCTTTTATCTCCTCCATGTCAAAGGCGTGTACTGCCTTGGGGTTGTCTTTCTGGATGTGAAGTTTCACCATAGATTTACTGCGATGATCTTTAACACAGAATCTTTTGTAAGCTAGGTATCCAGTTGCAGCTGTCCCAGCCACGATGGTGACTGCTGCAATCCATTCACCTCGCACGTTGGAACTGGAAGTCAGACCCAAGGCGCCACCGCTTGCAAATGGCCTCGCGCAGACGGCGGGAGTCAAGATACGAAAAGCATCCTAAGGGCACCGACTCAGGATTGCTACTCAACACACTTAATTTTAAAAACTCATTAATCATTGTTGTCGTTAGACTTCTTGTCTATTCCCACAATTTGCCTGTAAACCTACGACAAAATTTAACGAGAAATGAAATAATTATGACTTTCATCTTCGTTCGCATTATATTTATTAAGCTTTACAATGACCCAGGTTCTAGTAGCTTGGGATACAACGATTCTCCCGAGGCCCTCACACTTTTCCTGGAGAAAACAGACATGTTTAAAAGCACAAAAGAGGTATGCACTGGGTAGAGTTAGGACGCAAAATGTGGGGCCGTAACTTCCTAAAAAGTGTCATCTCAGAATAGCTTCATAGGATGATGAATGAAATTATTTTTAGTGGTTACATAGAACACAAGCTCCCGTCAAGAGGTTAGCAAGATAAGTGCGATGGCTCTGAGAGATCTCCTGTTTCACAGTAACTCCAGTATCAACCTTCGGTTGTCAGCTTCCGGAGCTCTCAAGGAGTGGGCTCCCCTCCTGCCCTTCACACTCCTTGGATACCGCCCCCACCCCCTTTCCGCCACACCCCCGAAGGCATCCGAACTTCCGGCCCCACCCGCCCCCGCGCGGTGGACTGTGGGAGCGGCTTCCTTAGATTCCGCTTGGCAACGGCTCAGCGGGGCGCTCTGGCCTGTGGATTTTCTGTACCACACCAACCCCGGGTCTGCCCTGGGCTCGACTCGCGGTCACCCCCGCTCCCCTCAGCTCGAGGTAGGAGAGGGGCTCGGGGCCGGGTCGGAGGGCCTCGGGGATCCTCGCGGCTGTGTCCGAGCCCGCCCCGTTGTGGGCCCCCTTCTTCCCGCCGCACGGGGTGGGAGGCCGCGGAGGGACTCTGCCAGCCCTCGCCCCTTTCTCTCCCACCAGCAGCTGCAGGGGGGCCAGGTGGTGCCCACGTCTGTCTCGCAGACGCGGACGTTGGTTGGCACTCTTTGGTTCCTTCCCTGGCTCGCAGCGTTCCAGTTCCCACTAAAGGGATGGGCATTGAGGTTCTGCTTAAAATAGTCGCCCCGGATCGTAGTCTTACCTTAAAAAGGAGTTCCAAATTCTTAAGAGACCCTTGCAGCAGCTGCTAAATATCACAGCAGATAAAGCGACCAATCCTCTTCGATTTTTATGTGGAGACAAGCCTTTGAAATTGCCTAATAAAAGGTGAAAGTACACAAAAGAATGCATAAAGCACATTTTTAGTCGTACGAAGATTTTAAAAATTCCAGACACTAAGTAGTGTTCCCCACCCCCTCCCCAGAGATTGATTCCAGAACACACATAACTCTCCCTCACGGATACCAAAATTTAGGATGCTGAAGTCTCCTATAAAGTGATATAGTATTTGCATATGACCTATGCAATCCTCTCAGATACTTTAAATAATCTCTAGAATACTTATAATAATCAACACAATGTAAATGCTCTTTAAATAATTGGACACAGAATTAGGAAATAATGACAAGAAATAGTCTCTGTATGTCCAGTATGATGTGATTTTTCCCAAAAGATTTAATTTAAAATTTGCAGTTCGTTGAAGCCAAGCAAAGGGAGGGCCAATTGTACTAGTTTCCCAAGACTCTAAGCCTAAAATTCCCCTTTTTCTTTTACCAGGCTGATTCTCTGGTTGTGAGCTTTTAAGTAACTACAGTAGGCATGTTGGAAGTAGATTCTCCATCAAAGAAGAGCATAGTAAAAAAACTTTTAACACTTAAAAATTTTATCAATACATATTTAATTTACACTGATGTGACATTATCCCCAAATTATTTCAGTATTAGGAGCTTGTTATGTATATAAGATGATTTTGAAATTGCTTGGAGAAGCTAGAAACTGAGTTACAGTATTTGTTCTACCACCCATGATTGTTAACCATGGGTAATTCCCTTCACCTTTGTTGAACTTGCTTATCTTTAAAATTAGTATTTTCTACTATATGTCTTTTCAGTTAAAGTCTCTTCCAGGTATAGTTTTTTTTTCAATCCTGTTGCAATCAAGCAGAAAGGATCTTATATTTTAAAAGTTGCTTGTTTTTATGACTTTTGTGTAAGCTAGACATTTAAATAAGGCTCATAATCAAAGTCTTTAACATAGAGATTCTCATGGTGTGGTACAGAGACCAGCAACGTCACCATCTGTGGAACTTGTTAGAAACCCATATTTTAAAGGAAAAATAGAGTGATCTCTCCTGCTCAAGATTTACAGATCAGAAACACTGGTGGCAAGGAGCAGCAACCTGAATTTAACAAGCCCTTAGGTGTCTGATTCATGCTAAAGTTTGACAAACACTGGTTTAAGTCACTAGTCTCCTCTTCTCTGCAGAATATATATTTGTAGACCGCCTAGCACATTCCTGAAAGCTCAGGTAGCACTGAATTCCTTATATACTGTTTTTTTCCTTACATGTATCTATCTATGATAAAACTTACATCAGACACTGTAAGAGATTAACAATAAATAATAAAATAGAACAATTATAACAATGAAATATAATAAAAGTTACAGAAATATGTCTCTCAGAAAACATTATTATATTCACCCTTGTTTAATGATGTGACTTAATACTTAAAGGAAACATTTGTGTCTTCTTATTGGCATGTCTGAATTTCTGGCATCACTGTTCTACAATTTGAGGCCATTAATAGGTAAAATAATGGTTCCTTGAATACAAACACTGTGATACTGCCACAGTTGACCTGATAACCAGGATGGCCACTTACAGGGCATGGATATGCTGGACAGAGGGATGATTCATAGCTTATGTAGAATACAACAGAACTATATTATATTTTATCATGCTACTCAGAATATATGTAATTTTAAACTTCCAAATTGTTTATTTATGGAATTTTCCATTTATTATTTTGGATTGTGGTTAACCACAGGTAGCTGAAACCACAGTGTGAAATCATGGCTAAAGGAGTCTCTTGTATTGTCTGAGTTAAAATTTTTAAAGTAAAATACTTTACACATCTCCTGCCAATGACTTAATACCTTTTGAAAGTATTTCTGACTGACCATTTCTATATGACATTTGGTGCCAACTTAGAATGGATCAAATTACCTAATTGTAAGAGCTAAAATCATAAAACTCTTAGAAAAAAGTGTACATTTTCTTAACCTTGGTTTAGGCAATTTTTTCTTAGATATAACACCATGAGTATAAGCCACCAAAGAAAAAACAAATTATATATCATCAAAATTAAAAACTTTAGACTTTGAAAGAATACTATTAAGAAGGTGAAAAGACTGCACAGAATGGAAGAAAATAAGTGTGTAAATATATATATATGATAAATATATGTACATATATATATGTGTGTGTATATGAGATAAATTCTAATATCTGGGATAGTAAGGCTTTTTATAACCCGTATGAGACAACCCAACTTTAAAAAATGGGCAGAGAAGCTGGGTGTGGTGGTGGATGCCTGTAAGCACTCTGGGAGGCAGAGGCAAGAGGATTGCAAGTTTGAGCCCACCCTGGCTAGGGAATTTAGTGACTTTGTCTCCAAAAAACAAAACAAAACAAAATGGAGGGGGTGGGTATATAGCTCAATGCTAAGAACTTGGATTCAATTTCCAGTACCACAAAAAGAAAAAGAAAAGCAAAAAACTAGGGCAAAGAAAATGAACAGCTACTTCTCCAAAGAGACACACAAATGGCAAATAAGCATATGAAAAGATGCTCAACATCACTAGTCATCAGAAAAATGAAAATCAGCATCACACTGAAATAATCCACACCCATTAGAGTACTCACTCATAAAGAGGGACATGCTGGGGATTTAGCTCAGTGGCACCACTCCTGCCTCGAAAGTGCAAGGTCCTGTGCTTTATCAGAGCTACATTTAATGATATTACTCTAGAATGTTCTCTTTCCAGATGATGATTAAGATGCTAATAAAAAAAATGGTGCCAGGTACCACAACAGCAACAGAACTTTGCTGTTGTCTGGATATTATTCTTTTCTTTGTTTTTTTTTTTTAATGGAATGTGCTGAATGTCTATAATTTTGTTCAGATGACTGCAGAACCTAGAAAAGCTGTTGCTGCTATCGATGCATAACATACTGCTATTATTAGTCTTTTTATATAAATATAAATATTTATATGCATATATATAAATTGAATTTTGGGAAACTTTAACGGTGCTACCAGCTTTGGAAAAAGTCATCCCAATTTACTGTATTGAGCTGGCATTGTACAGAAATGGACAGACATATTGGTCTAGAAATGTTAATTCTTATTTTTATTTTTTATTTTTTTTCCATGTGTACAGGGGTGACACATCGTACTAAATATGTAAGGTCATATCTACGTGGGTTTGATTACAGAAACTAATAAAGTATTCTCTAAATAATGAAAAAAAGAATAAGATAAGACTATAAGAGCAAGAAGCAATTTAAATATGTTCGGGGACCATTTTCATCTCCAGAATTAAGGATTATTTTAATGTTACATCATTGCCTTTTCTCTTTTACTTTCCTTTTTAGTTTTATTTTAGGATTCCCTATTTTTAATGTTCACACAGAGATTTCTTTAACTGAAATACCAAATAGTTTCTTTGGTGTGAAAAACTATAATAGTACACAGGATCCTAATGAGATAATTAATAATGTGAAATAGGAAGAAAAGGGCTAAAGGTGTAGGGAAAGTGGGAAGGGTGGGGCAAAGGTAATAAGGGAGAGGAAAAAATATGAGAAACTGAAAAAATGGAAATAAAATGTTTGTAAATGAGGAGGGGAGGAGGGGGTGAAGGGAGAGCAGGGACAAGGGGAAAAAATGAGAATCAAGACCTATTATGTAAAGGTACAGGATCCCAATGATGAATGTAACTGTATTGTATACCTAGATTGTACCAATAAACTCAATAAAAAGAAAAAAAATAAAGAAAGTGCAAGGTCCTAAGTTTGATACCCGGTACCGCAAAAAAAGAAAAAAAAAAAAAGAGAGAGAGAGAGAGAGAAAATAACAAGTGCTAACTAGAACATGGACAAATTAGAAGCTTCATACATTGCTGACAGGATGTAAAATATTGCACCACTTGGGAAAATAATCTGGCAGCTCTTCCAGAAAGTATAGAGTTACCATATAAGCCAGCAATTCCATTACTAGGTGTGTACCCAAAGAACTAAAAATAATGCATACAAAAACTTGCACACATTTTTATAGAAGTGTTACTTGTAAAACTCAGAAAAGTAGAGCCAGCCCAAACGTCCATTAACTAATAAATAGATGAAGCAAAATGTTGCTGAGTTGTTATTCAGCTATAAAAACAAATGCAGTCCTGATATATACACCATCATGAAAGAACCTTGGAAACATGCTAAATGATAGAGGCCAAACACAAGAGGCCACCTAGAATATGATTTCATGTGTGTGAAATGTCCAGAGCTGGCAAATCATAAAGGCAGAAATTAGGTTAGTAGGAGCCAGGGACTAAGTAGAAATGGAAAAGTGACCGCTAAGGACCTCAAGTCTGTTTATGGATGAGGAAATTGTTCTGGAGTTAGACCATGATGGTTGCACACTCTATGTGAATCTGCTAATAGGGAGAATTTGATAGAATGTGAATCATGTCTCAAAAAAGTAATAACTTTATTAGCGCATATATATCATTACCTTTTAAAGGTTCTGAGAAACCACATATATTTGGTATTATGATTATTGGTATAATGAAATTTTCTCAATTTACTGGTACATCTAAAATGGTACAGGCTTTAAAGAACAAAGTATGTAGTTCAAAACTACTTTTTTTTTCTAGCTAACTAGCCTTCTCCCACCTCTCATCCCCCAAATTGCCTAAAATACTGACTGGATTTGAATGACACTTCTGGGACTCCTTCCCAGATTCTCAAGTAATGCATATTAAATATAGTTCAATATTTTTTACAGTTTTTCTTTTGAAATAAAATTTACAAAGAAAAGCAGAAATCTTAAGTATACATTTTTTGAATTTTCACACATGTGCGCTTATGTGACCTAAACTCATCAA